TGAAGTAGATCTATTACTTGTAGTAGTAGAAATACCTCTTGGTGATTTTTGATTCATTGAATCTAATAAATTAGCAGATTGACCACGTGGTGATTTAGGGTTATATAAACCACCACCAATCATACTATCCATTTTAAGAGAAGGTAATGCTGTAGATGTATTTAATTGATCTAATTGATCATTATTATCAATTAAATTCCATTGAAATATAGTCAAATCACCACCACCACATGATAATAATTTTGTAATTCTTTCATTTTCAATATTATAATGTATAAATTTAACATTTGTAACATGACTACAATGACCAATATAAGAATAACCAAATGGTTTAATAATTGGACATGGATAATGATATAAAGATAACATTGTTGTATCTTCACCTACTATAATTAATTCATTTTCATAATCAACATGACATGTATTAACATCTGTTCCATTAAAATCTTGTTTCCAAATACCTCTAACTGTCCATCCTAATGGACATGTCATTGAATTCCATTCTATATTTTCTATATTTGAACAATTACTTAATTTTTTACTATTTAAATCCCATAATAATATTTCATAATCACCTGAATTACTTTTTAAATAATTACCACATTTGGAAATATCTAAATGTGTAATAAATGATGAATGTCCTATTAATTTACCAATATATTTATAATCTCCACTACCACTCTTTAAACAATTATATAAATAAATATAATTATCATGACTACCAACTGCTAATAAAGTACCATCATGATTATAAGATAGAGTTGTAATTTCTTCATTTGAATCTTTACGTGTATATAATGGTTCTTCTGTAAATGTATAATTTTCTAAATTAAAACCATATATAAATAAATGACCTTCTTTAGAAGTGAATGCAACATGTTCATTTGAAGGTGAAACACATACACCTCTCAATTCTAATGATGAATTTAATTTTAATAATGAGGCGTGTTTTCTATTTTCACAATTCCATACAATAACTCTACCATCATCTGAACATGTTACAAATAAAGGTAATTCTTTAAATGTATCTAATCCCCATAATTGTTTTAACATGGTTCCAAAATGTGAAATTAATAACAATTCAATTTCACCATTTTCTTTAATTAAATATAAATCACCATTTGCTTTACTAGCATATACATTATTATCATATTTAGAATGTGTTATATTTTTAACAAATCCATTTATAGTAATACTTTTATAACATTCAATAAATGAATTATTAAATTTCCAATATTTAACTTGACCATCTTTACCACCACTAATAAAACCATAATTAAATTTACTATTTTTATCATATAATGGATATAAAGTAAAAACATTACCATGATGTCCATTTATAGTATTAATTAATTTACCATCTCTAAATAAATAAATAGAACCATCTTCACATCCAACATAGGCATCTTGATTTTTCATATTAAAACATAGAGAATGTAAATTTTGTAAAGTACCTTTACTTCCAAATATACCTGATTTAAATGTTAAATCTTTAGTATTATAAATTTTTAATACTTTTTTACCACAAATATAAATTTGTGAATCATCAGGTGAAAATTGTAAATCAAATATTTCACTTGATAAACATTTTGTACTTGCAATTAATTCATTCTTTTTCCAATTATATAATAATATAATAGATGATGTATCATTACCACCTACTGTTACTAATAATTCTCCTGAATTGGAAAAACTAGTTGCTAATACTCCTCCATTTTTAAAATGTAAATGTGTATCTAATTTAGTAATTGGTTCTTTTATATCATGACTATCCCATATATATATCATATCATCTTTACCTATTTGTCCACTTGCAAATATATATTCATTTGGACTATATTTTTAATATAAATTCAATTAATATTAAATTATTATTATTATTAAATTAAATTATTAAATATAAAACATACTGTTTAGCAATGGTAACAACATCATCATCATGTTTTCTAAAAACAGATTGTGTATTATTTATAGGATCATAAACAATACCACATGCAGCACTTGGATATACTAATTTATTTTCATCATTAATATGAAAATAACAACCTTTACATCCTTTTTTAGAAGCACCATGAATAAATTCTAATTCTAATTTCTTTGATGGTAATTTATCGACCATCATTTCTTCATAATTAGTTGGTGGAAAATGTGCTGCTTTTAAAAAACGTGGATAAATAACTGAATTTGATGATGTCATTATAATAGATTTAATATTACAGTGAGTATATTATTATAAAAGATATATATTATAGAAGTGTTTAGCCTTTTTTTTTTGTATTTTTAAGAGACACTAAGATTTACAGTATATAAATGAAAGACAACACATCAGAGAGAGTGAAGATGTTGATGATAATGATGAACTTTTTGACCCTTAATGAAGTTGAGAGGTAAAATCTCTATCTCTCTCTATTGATGTCTACAATATGATTGAGAGAGATGGAACCATACATGAAATATTACATCTCTTGTTTTTCAGAATGTTGACCATGTAAATAATACAAGACTTGAATTATTGTATAATATCTAAATATTCATTGACACAATTCAAAAAGGCATGGAACATGGAACAATTTTGTAAAGTTATCTCTTAATCATTGTGTAAACTCCTCCTTCCAATCAAAATAGTTCCAGTTCAATGATTGTTGATTCTGACATGCCACTTTAAAAAGTGTGAATATTCTAAACTCACATTAAAAAAAATGAGAGCATTCACATCCACAATCCGCCACCACACCCTGAAGAAGAATCACACAACAAGCTTTTTATTTTCAAAAAGAATTGGAAAAGAATCAATTAGAACATTTTCTAAAAATGTAATCCTAAACAATCAAATTCCGCCACCAACAGAAGAACAAGTAAGACACTTATATGACTTGGTAATGAATAAAATTGTTTGGGAAAAGGCAAATAGAAATATAGTTCATGAGGATTTGAAAATGGAAAATCAATTTTCGAAACTTGATTTGAAACTTTTGATTACTAATACCTCCCTATTTGCTGATCTATTTTCTTTCACACAAGATTTATTGACATTTGATCGATATAATCTTGTTCAGAATAGGGAAGAATTGAAAGAGGTGAATATTTCAAGTTTGATTCAATATTCTCAATTTTTTGCACATTTACTGAAAGGTATTGTTCAAGGATGGTATTCATTTAAAGATTTGAAACCATACTTTCCAAATCCACTTACAGGAGTTCAAATTGATGGTAAAGATTTGGTTGAAAATGATCCAGTGACCTATTTATATTGTTTATGGGAATTGAATTCAAAGGATTTTGTAAATGAACAAGTTCCATTTACAAGAGAGAAATTGATTTGTTTAATTCCAATCATTTTCTCTGCACTAGACCAAAATGATCCTGTAACTGCTTTACAATACATGAAATTATTTGTAAAGCATTATCCTAAAGTTAAACAATTATACATAACATCAGCTCAAGGTAGTGATGAATTTTCATTGGAATCAAGTTGGACAAAAGTTTTAGGTAAAGTTTACACTGAGAATGAATTTGATTCGTGTTTAGATTGGGAAACTGAACTACCTGTAAACCTAAATGGAATGTACAATATTTTTAAAACACATGCAGACCACCAAACAATTGAAGATCAATGGAAAGTACTCTCAGTTATTGAAGAGGAAGAAAAAAAAACACCATCCAATCCTTATATTTTAGTATTTAAGGGATATTTTGGAGATAGTGCTAAAGATTTTATTTATGGATCCAAATGTTTAGAACTATTAGCCAAATCACCTGCCAAAGTTGAAATATTGAAAAGAACTGAGAAATTTAATGTATTCAAGAATGAACAACCATCCAACCTTGAAATAATCAAAGATTTCAAATTCTTTCCTCTATTATTTTGGAAATGTGTAGTCTTATCAAAACAGGAAGATCCACGAATGGCAGTAGAATTATTCAAACAAGTGGAATATTATTCAAAAAAACAAACTCATTTTCCATTATTACTCTTGAAAATGACTTTAGAATTCAGATTTGCCAATGATGAAGAGGTATTACGTATTTTCCAATTGATGGAACCATTCGAATCACAAACTAATCTTGTCCTTCTAGTCAGTGCAACAAACTATGCTTGCATGTCAATGAAAAATCTAGGATTAGAACAGGAAATTGTTCCAATGTTGGAAAAATTTATTGAGAAATATGGCAAGGAAAGTAATTTTACAACTATTCTCAATTACTATAAAAAGTAAAATAGTTCTATTTTCATTAAAAGTTACTACTAGCTCTCAACATTGCACATATTGTTTTTCAAAATTGCAACAGTTCAGCCCAAGAGGTACTTTCCTGTATGCTGAAAATTCAGCTTCAATTGCCAGTTGTGTTGATGAGGAACAACTAACTATTGTAACTTGGTTATTAAGGATAAAGAAGGAAATGAAATTTTGAGAGAACGTGCAACTTTGGATGAATTGAGTGAAGAAACATTCTCTGTTTCATTCTTAATTAAGAGTGAGCTATATACTGATTATAATATATCAGTAGAATTGGAGGAGAATTCATACTCTTTAGATAATAGTGAACATGTTGATCCATCTCCAATTCAAAAACTTAACTTACAAATCAGATGCATTGAAAAGTTCCAAATAGATGCAGCAAGTACAATCTCAAAGAGTTCAAATGAAGAATCTCCATGTTAATGGTAAAATTGTTGAAGAGAAATTGGAATTCATTGCAAATGAAGTAAAAAAGATTCGTGATAGAACTATTTGAAAAATCATTTCAGGTACCTCACGTGAAAATATCAATGCAGTTCTTCCATTGTACATTGGTGAGGAACATTGGAGGGTTGCTCGTAAAAAGATGAAGCCAGTTTTAGGATTTGTCGCTACTTTGGATGTAATGGGTTATGCTTTCGAGCAATTCAAAACCATTCCATTCTTTGTTCTCTTCAAGCTTCTCCAAGAATGCTCTGAACAAGAATCAATGACTGAATTCCAATCTTTGAGATTAAATTTGGTTCTAGCCAATTTTTAGAAACTGATGATGTGTATTGTGCAGCTGGTATGTTATTTGGACAAAAGAGAGGTAATGGTGAGTTTATTTATTTCACTCGTGCTCTATGTACCCCTGGTGTCAAGTTCTTTAAAAGTTGAAAATGTTATTGAGAGGTGAATTCCTTATAGAGTTGTTGAGTTGTTGGATTCTGCGCTTGGAGAATTGAATTCAATCCGGTGATGTTGTGGAAATTACTAAGAGAGCCTATCTGTACATGAAATATTGCATCTCTCTGGCTTTTCAATATATTGACAAAGTTCAAAAAGTCAAGGAACATGGAACAATTTTGTAAAGAATATAATCACTAAAATATTAATAAAATAATAATAATCAATTTAAAAAATGTCACATGATTCACAATCTGATCAATTAAATGATCAACAACAACAAGAAGAAGAATATAATGAAGAGGAAGAAGAAGAAGAAGAATTTAATGAAGAAGAAGAAGAAATTAAAAAAACACTTGATGATGAATTATTAGATAGTGCTATTAATAGAGATTTTAATAGATTAAAATTATTATTAATAGAAAAAGGAGCCAATGCATTCTATAATAAAAGAATAGAAGGAGTATGGGGAGCCTATGAAGAATATGGAGTAATACATAAAGTATTACTTGGATGGGATGATATGAAAGAACAAATGCAAGCTATAGAATTATTATTAAGTAAAGGTGCTAATGTAAATGCTATATATGGTAGTAGTAATTGGAAAGGAAGTGGATCAAGTGGTACAGCCTTTGAAATTGTATTAAGTAAGAATAATATTGAATTAATCAAATTATTTTTAAAATATGGAGCAGATTCAAATACATGTCAAAAAAGACAAGCACACACTATGAGATATGATGGTTCATCATCTTTTCCTTTTTTATATCAAAGTGTTAAATATGGTAATTTAGATTTATTTAAATGTTTATTAGAACATAATGCTAATACTAATTTATTTGCTTTTAATAGAGGTTCATCTGAATATGGTCCTATTGATGATTTAAAAGAATTACCTTTACATTTAGCATGTAAATTATTTAAATCAATTAATAATATTAATATTAATAATAATAATAATATTAATGAATCTTATGATAGTGATGATGAATATAATAATAATAATAATGAATCTAAATCTAAAAATAATTATGAAAAATATAAAGAAATGATATTATTATTAATTAAATATAATAGTGATATTAACATGTATGGTAAAACAGTATATCAAATACCAAATGAAAATTATCCTAAAAATATAAATGAAGAAGAATATAATGAAATATCAGATCCAAGAGGTGATAATTTTATACCACAAACTATAAATATTAAAATACAATATACACCACTACATTTATCAATTATTACAAATCAAAATGAAGAATTATTTAATTTATTATTATTTAATGGTGCAAATTCAAATATTAATTTTATTAAAAATAATATTGAAATTTCTACTTTAGATTTATTAAAAGAATATAATTTAAATTGGAATTTAAATTTTCAATGGTCAATTAAATATCATAAATATTTACCTAATCATTTAAAATTAATTATTAATACTTTACAATATATTTCATATCATTTAAATTGGCCTTTAAATTTAGATACTTTATCTATTATTTATAATTTTTTATGTTTGGATTATTTTTATGAAAATGATTTAAAATTTATTAAAAATAGACAAGAAGAATATGAAAAATTTAAAAAAACTAATTATTATTAATATTTAATAAAAATGTAGAGTGTTTGTTTATATTTTTAATAAAATTAACATATCTTTTTATTCTGAATAATTTCCCTTTATTTTTATTCCATCTTTTTGAAAATATATATTTATAATAAATGATATGGACTTTGAAATGATATTAATTGTTCATTATAATATCCATATTCTAAATTAATAATTAATTGTTCCAATTCTTTTACATTTCCAATAAATTTAATTTTATTATTAAAAGTATTTAAATTTAAAGTTAAATATTTAATATTATTTAATTTAAATAATTTAAATGCTGTATCAATAAATATATTACATTCTAATTCTTTTAAATTTTTAAAATTACTATTATTAGTAATTAATTCAATAATAGAATCATTATCATAATTATTAATAAATTTAATAGATTTTACATTTAAAGATGTTTTACAAATTGATTTTAAATTTAAATAAATTGATAATAAATTAATTTCTAAATCTCATCATTTATATTATTTTTATAAAAATTTAACTTTAAATTAAAATTATCACTTCTTGATTTTAATTTTAGTTTCTAAATTTGAACAATTAATGAAAGATGTATTTTTAATAACATTATTTAAATCAACATTAAATTTAATTGATAAATAATTTAATTTTTTTAAATATTTTAAAAAGGAAATTGTTGTAACATTTTCAATTTTTAAATATTTTATATTTTCTAAAATAATATTATTATCATTTATATTAAAATTATTAATATAAATACTTTCTAAATTAAATATTACTGAATTTATATTATTTAATTGTAAATTACCCATATAAAAATGTTTTAAATTTTTTAAAGTTCCATTTAATAAATATTCCCAAATTAATTCATTTTCTAATTTATATACAGCTATATTTATTTTTAATTTTAAAATATTTTGTAAATAAATTGATTCAAATAAATATTTTAATATATTTGGATTTTTAATAGAAATTTCTAAACTTTGTAAATTTTTAAATTTTTCTAACATTTCACATAATTGTTCATCAATTATTTTAGTATATTTAAAATGTTTTAAATTATTTGGAATTAAACTTGTTATTATATTACAATCTATTAATTCTAAATCTTCTAAATATGGAAAATTAATATTTGTAAATATTGAATTATAACTTTCAATTGATAAATTTTTTAATTTTAATTTTCTTAAATTACAAGTTATTAAATTATTAGGAATTTCAAATTTTAAATTTTTACTTGAATCAAATATTAATAAATTATTTAATTTGTTAAAATCTATAATTATATTATTATTTATATTGTCATTATTTTTAAATTTTAAAATTTCAAGTTGATTCCAATTTGTATTTAAAATTAAAGATTCAACATTTTCAAAATAATTTGAAATTTCGATAATTTTAATTAATTTTAAACATGATGGTTGATTTATAATTAAATTAATTAAATAATTAGATATTTTAATATTTTTAGATAAAATTAAATGAATTGAAGAAAATAAATTAGATTTCATTATATTAATAAATTCATCACTTAATTTAGTTCCATATTCGGATAATGATATTTGTTCATCATTTAATTTTGAATGTTTAAATATTTGATAATCATTACATTTTAATATAAATTTATATTCTTCAAATTTAAATCTAATTATTTTACATGTGTTACATAAATTAATCCATTCTTTTATTCCGTTAGTAAAGGGTATTATTTGATGGTAGAATATTTCTGATGGCAAGTTTTGCATTTTTTTTAAAGTTGATCAAAATTCAATCACATAAAACTTCTCTCGAAATTGAGTGATAATCAGAATTGAATAGCTGAATTGAATAGCTTCCCTTTAGAGAGAAGTTACATCATAAACAAAAATCGTCCAAAATTAATGCCAGTTATTGTGTGAAATAAAGGTAAGTGATTGGATGGGCAGTAGTATTAACTTATTATCAAGTTTAACATGGACGTCCTTTTCCTTCATTGAACTCAAGATCTTTCCAATCCTCGAAATCTGCCAAAGTTAATTGATCTTCTCCAGAAGTCTGTAAATGCAGTGACAGTCTAACACAGTGTTCTCTCTCGTTTGTTGTTAAAGTATACTCATGAAAACATGGTTGTGTAAGTGTATATCTATTGAATTCCGAAATGCGAACAGTGAGGGATATATTAGTGAATGTATGCAAACATCAACAGTGAACGATTATCCTTGTTCTATTATTCCAATTTAATAATGCTGTTTGAGATCCACTCTTGTTTGTATTCTAAGACTATAGTAAATGTGTGATCATCACTATACCTGCCGCTTAACTCCTATGTTCCGTTTTCTAGATGTTAAAGAGTATTCCTATGCTCAAAGTTGACTATCTCCGAAAAAATAACTTAACTGTAAGCACATTACAATATTTAGGGGATTGTAAAGTCACTACCACTCAGCAGACTGTTTGCGATAGAACTAGCAAACTGCTTCCTAAGTTATTGTTTGTGTGTTTATACCAACTTGGCAATTGGAGGAGATCAGTTACAATAGAGAAGGAATGGAGATTGAATTTGGAGAATTGGCAGTTACTTCATGAATAATTCTGAGTAAATTTACTTAGAAAAAATGTAAGTTGCCTTCCTAGATCTCAATCACTAGCAACATACAATGAATCCAACAAAAAAGCAAATTTAGAATAAAATGTGTATTTTGAGTAGTCGAACAAAGTTCCAGACCGAAATGTCAGCTGCTTCTAAGATACATGATCTTTCAATGAGAATAACCTAAGAGTGGAGTACTTGGGTAATAGACAGTGTAATAGTTGGTTTTTAGTTGGCTTTGTTCCCTCTAAACCCCATCCACAACCCTAATTTAATTTTCCCCAACTTCGAACGATTTGGTTGGTTCGTTGGTTGGTAGTAGGTTGATTGTTGGGTAAAGGAATGAAATTGGTGGGTAACTATTCAATAAATATTCAGTAACCATTCAGTTATTATATGGTAAACATTCAGTGACTATTCGGTGAACATTTAGTTTCTATGCGGCTTTTAGTGTGTTGGTTCATTTGACTGAAAGTTTCCCTTAATTTACAATTTTCATAATTTGAGTAAAACTGATTAATTTATTTACAATTGTTGTGCTTCTTCTGAGTCTGATTGACCATTATCTGAATAAAGATCTGCACCATCTGATTCCATATCAAGCAAATTAATTGCGTCTGCTGAAGGTTGTGTTGCTCTTGTCAGGTTTTTTGATCCAATCTTTAACAAGTGTTAAAAAAACAACTTGTTCATCTTCTGCAACATAGCTCTGCAATGAAGAGAATTGACCATTGTTGGCTCTGACATGTTCTCTTGTTGGTGAAGAGGTAGAAGGTTGAATTTCTGTTGTTGAATTGAGGATTGAACTCCTTCTATATATTAGAAACTTCGACATTGGAATTCTTCTTTCTTTTTGGCTTCTCTTTTTTCTTTAATTCTATTAGACTCTTTCTTTTAAAAGAACTCCACAGATTGCTGAATATCTTACTGACATTAACAATAGCTCTAATTAATTGTTGGAAAATAATTAATAAATAATTAAGGATAAACTTCACTTAGAATACTTTGCACTTATTTATATGTATCCGTTGACAATCCATTAACATGTTTTCTGCGCAATGTTTCACCAAAAGTTAATTGCAGACAATCTTTACATGAACTCATGGCAGTATCATTTTGGGGAATCCCTTTTCGCTTACAGTAAATTCGAATACATTGCATAACTTCTCTTTTTAATCTATATAAAATCAAATAACTAACTAACAACTTGCTTACTTACGCTCGTTGAGTATCCTTCCATCCCACTGCAGCCTTGGGATAACAGTCAGCCAACTTTTCATATGTGGCTTCTGGTAAACATGTTATGGTTAATTTAGTCTTCTTCTTTGTTATTAGAATAATTTATGTTGAATAAATGGTGTTAAACTACTTACTTTTACGCACATGATGGTGATGATGCTGAAATGAAGTAAAATTGGCAGTTGATGGAAAAGTTACAAGGTTGATGTAGAATTACTTACCTGGCATTTATTGTGTTTTTTTGATTCGAATTTTCAGTCGAAAGCCAGTTTTTAGACGAAAAAAAATGTCTTTACAAAATAACAAGGAACAAGGTATCTATTTTGAAAGACGCTGTGATTCTTGCAAGAAATCTTTACACACAGTATTTTACCAACCAATTTCAAGTGCAAAATTCAAGATTCAAATTAAATGTAACTGTGAAAACTCTGAGTGTAAAAATTTTACTAAGGAAAAACTTGGATGTTGTTTATGTGATTATAGTTGTGTCAAATCTGAAACGTTGTTGAAACATATTACAAAAGAACATTCCATCAAGTTTCCAAAAGTGTGTTGTGATAAACATTACACCACAATGGAGGAATACGTCGATCATATCAATTTTAAACATCAAACCAACACAAAGAGTGCAATAGAACATCAACCGTTAAAGAGATTATGTTTATCTAAACCAGAAAAACCAGTAAAGCTCAGCTCCTCTGCAAATACATCTTTACAGCATGTCATTACTCCTCAAAATGATACATTGGAGTGCAAGAATGTCTTTCATTTGATCAAATTCAAACCAGATGTAAATATTTCAAAACTCAACAACCAATAATTGATGAAAATGATACTGAACAGGACCAATATGTATACTATGGTGTTGTAAATTCAAACATTCATGCAACAACTGGCTATGTTGCACTAAATCAAATAATTGGTAAATGTTTGATTCATAGTATTGCAGGCAAAGAAATGTTCAACCAATACTCGTTTTTCATGAATTTCCATAAAGTTAAATTTTAAAAATAGAACATTTATTAATTTTTGGCTTTGGAGGTGTATTCAACAGCGTCCAGCTACCACTACCACCAACTACATCCACTCTTAGGATCAAAGAACAGAACTGAATCGTTTAATTCAATAATTTATTTAAAGTTTTGATTGTTGTTTGTTGGAATCATTGTTAATAATTTCATGAGCAGCAATTCTTCCATAAACAACACATTCCAATAAACTATTACCAGCCAATCTATTTAAACCATGTAATCCACCTGATGCTTCACCTGCAGTATATAAACCTTGAATTGGTTCAACAGTATTATCATTTGCAATTCTTCTTAAAACTCTTGCCTTTTCATCAAATAATAAACCACCATGTGTATAGTGAATGGAAGGTGTAATTCTTGAAATATAAATGGTATCATTTAAATTAAATAGAGTTGGGAATAAATTCTTTCCAAAATCATCTACAATTGAATTATTTAATTGATATTGATTATAAAAATGATTATAATTTTCAATAGTATTAATTAATTGTTGTAAATTTAAATGTTGTAATGATTCTTGATGAGCATGTTGTAAATTATTAAATTTCTTAATAAAACCTTTACCAATATAAAAAGATAATAAAGATTCACTAAAAGATTTAGCAACATGATCATTCATAATCATATAAGCAGTAGTATGTCCATTTTCAATTTCAGATTTACAATTTTTAAATATCATATCAGAAACATAATCTCTTCTACCTAATTCATTACAAAATCTATTACCATTCTCATTAACTATAATACCACCATAAGCACGTAATGCTTCAGCTGCTAAAAATACTGTCATACTTTTAGGATTTAATGGATCAATAAATCCAGTTGGATGTACTTGAATAGATTCCATATGTATTAATGAGGCTCCTAATTCTTTAACTGCCATTCTAATACCTTCTCCATTAGCAAATTTACCATTAGTAGTTGGTAATTTTGATAATTGTGGTGCATATTCTTTTAAATATCCTTCTCTATCTGCTGCATATCCACCTGTTGTTAATACAACTGATGATACTTTTAATTCTTTAACTTGTTGTTCTTTTAATTCTTTTAATTGTTCTGATTGTGATTCTTTTGATTGTTCTTTTGATTCTTGTTCAAGAGTAATATATTTAATACCTGTTACAATTGTATTATTATTTTCATCAATTAAAGTTAAAAAACCAATCATTTTAGTACTTGTCATTACAGTAACTCTATCATTTAAATTATTCTTAATATAATTTAATAATTTAAAAGTAATTTCAGCACCAACATTCATTGCACGTCCAACTTTAGGTGGAGCAGAACGATGTGTACGTGCCATTGAATGACCACCACATTGTGTTACTAATTCCATTCCAATACCATGATTTTCTAAAAATTCAATTGCACTTGTTGATTCTTTAACAAGTGTTGAAATTAATTTAGGATTACCTGCTTGTTTACCTGATTTAGTAGTATCAGATATAAATAAATCAACTGTATCAGGAATTGATAATCTTTCCTGTGCTTTAGTTAATACTCCATTAATACCTGATGTTGCTTTAGCACTATTACCACCTGTACGTTCTTCTTTTTCAATTAAATAAACATAACCTCCTAATTCTGCAATTTCAATAGCTGCTGATAATCCTGCAAGTCCACCTCCAATCACTGCTACTTTTATTGGTGATGATGATGATTGATTAGTTGTAGATGTAGATTCAGTAGTGGTGGTGGATTGTGTAGTAGATTGTTCAACAGTTGGAGTGTCCATACTTGGTTGATTGGTAGTAGTGGTATCGGATTGTTTTTGATCACTTGTTGGAGTAGTAGTGATAGGTGTAGTAACCTCTTCTTGTTGTTGTTTAGTAGTAGTAGTAGGAGTGGTGCTAGTAGGAGTAGTTGTTGTTGGTTCTTCTTGTTGTTGTTGTTCAACTTTAGCCTTTGATTCTACTTGTTTGGTTTCAGCAGTAACTGTAGGGGTTGTTGTTGGAGTACTTGGAGTAGCAGCAGTAGTAGTAGTAGTTTCAGCTTGAGGTGTTGTTGTTGTAGTTGATGTGCTTGGTTGAGTGGTGGAAGTAGTGGTGGTTGTTGGGTTCAAATTTGGAATTTGTTTTTTATGAATCTTATTTTGGATAAATTCTAAAGCTTGTTCAAATTCACTATTTAAATTTGTATAAATTTTAATCCTATCACTATTATTTAATAAAATATTATTTAAATTATTATTATTACTATCAATAATATTATCATCATAATTATAAAAATAATTAAATTCTTCAAATAATGTAATTGTATTTTGATTAATAGAATTATGAATACTATTATTATCATTTTCATTTAAATTATTTAAATTACAATGTTTTAATAATGGTAATAAAATAGATCTAGTAGGTAATATATTTGTAATTAATTTATATAATTTTTTAAATAAAATAGATGATGTCTTTTTACCTAATATTTTATTATAAATAATTGAAATTAATTTATGAATAGATTTATAATCTTTAATTAATTCAATTATTTTATCAATTGTAATCTTTTCATTAATAATTGAATTATTAATTGGTAATATTGGTGAAAATAAAACTATATTTTCAATATTTTCAATATTATTATTTAATTGTTGTAATTGTTTATAATATAATAAAGTATAAAAAGCACCTAATTGATGACCAATTAAACTATATGAATTTAATTTTAATTCATTAACAATAGATTGAATAGAATTCATAATTAAATAATATTGTTCTTTAGAACATGAACAAGTATTTAAAGTATTATTGTTAGTATTTAAAAAAGATTGACCAATACCAGGTCTATCAAATTTAATTAATCTAATAGAATGTTTTTTAGCTAATTCATCTTCATTTAAATGTCCATATGAAAGTGATCCAGGTGTAGGATGTAATTGAATAACTGCATGTCCATTCAAATCACCCAATTCAATATAGGCTATTTTAGATCCATCCTTTTCAATATATTTTAATTTATTACTAATATTACTATTTAATAATGATTCTGTATGTTTAGGATTTTTATATAAATTAACATTACTTGAATACAATAATGATAAGACTATTGCAATCAAGGCTGTTGTGAGAATAAGTAATTTACTCAACATTTTTTTTTCACTTTTTATTGTTGATCAAATCCCTTTGTTGCTGCTTGTTGTATAAGTGATAGTAAGTGAAAGGGTACTATTTGAGACATTTGAACATTTTCGTAAGGTTTAAAAATAGTCAATAGATCGATGTTTGTTGTTGTTGTATTCAATCTTCATAATATAATTGTACTCAATTTTACTTTATTTTTCTCTCTTTTAAACTTCTCAAATAATCAATGTCATATAAAAATCAATATAATAAAAATCAATATAATTCTTAAATAATATATATATTATATAAAAAAAAATCTATTGTCTTGGTAAAATAGAATCTTTTAAATCTTGATTTTGTAACATTGACCATTCTTGATCTGAAAAGATGAATAAATGAGAAGGTAAAGGTTTACCATTTGGTAATTTAACATTGGGTATTCTTAATTCATCAAAGAAAGGATGAGCTAAAGCATCCATTGGAGTAATTCTACGTTTTGGATCATATTGTAATAATTTTGTAATTAAATCAACACTATTATTCATTTCAATGAAAGGATCAATTTGTGAACCAGAATTTGAACCATTATTAGCTTGATAATTACGTTGTAAAAATTGAAATCTATCTGCAAAAACTTGATCCCATGGATTTGGTTTAACTTGTGGAAATTTAAATTCAGTATAATTCTTATTCATTGCTAAAATATCTTGTTTAGAAGGAGCACCTAATACTTTAATAATTTCAACTAATTGATCAACTGAACTTTCACCTTGAAATAAAGGAGTACCTAACATTAATTCACCCATAACACATCCACATGACCATACATCAACTGAACAAGTATATTTTGTTGATTGAAATATTAATTCAGGTGCTCTATAATATCTTGAACAAATATATGATACGTTAGGTTCTCCTTCTTTTAATTGTTTTGCATTTCCAAAATCACATAATTTTAAAATTCCACTCACTGGATCTATTAATAAATTTTGTGGTTTTATATCACGATGACAAATACCAAGTGAATGTATATATATCACTGAACGTAATAATTGAAATACAAATAATTTAACATAAATACTTGGTACATAGGAATTATGTTTAGCATAATTCATACAAAATCTATAAACTGTATCAGGTACATATTCTAATACTAAATTTAAATATACTTCTTCTGGATCCTATTATTTTAAATTGTTTTAAATTGTTTTTTAAATATTATTATAGATATAAATATTATTATTATAAATATTATTATTATTAAAAATATTAAAATTATTAAAAATATTAAAATTATTAAAAATATTATAAATATAAAAACTTACTCTATCACCTCTTGAATAAAAATAATTTTTCAATTCAACAACATTTGGATGTGATAATGTTTTCATTACTTGTAATTCTCTATTTTTAAATCTCTTATCTTGAAGTACTTTCTTAATAGCTACTATATCTCCTGTTTCTTGTACTTTAGCTAGAAATACAACACCAAAACTACCATTACCAATCACTTTAACAGCACTATAAGAAACTACTTTGCCTTGTCGTGTTGGTGGTGATGTTGTTGAGGTTGCTGCTGCTGTAGTAGTAGTAGTAGTAGTAGATGAATTATTATTTGGTTGTTGTTGTTGTTGAATAGATGAATTGACTAGGCTAGTGGAAGGTTGTTGTTTTGAATTGATGGATTTGGTTTTTCTAGTTGGTGATTCATTTCCAGGTTGATTAGTTATATTATTTGTATTATTAGTGGTTGTAGTAGTACTTGTTGTTGTAGATTTTGATGAAGATTGATAATTATTATAGGATCTATTGGTTTTATCATTATTTCCAATTTGAAGATAATTAAAATTATTAATTAAATTATCCATATTATTATTGTTAGTAGTATTTGTATTGGAATTTGAATTGTTATTATTATTATTATTATTAATGAAGGAATTATTATTGTACATTGTTGATATAATACAATAATAATATTGCTGAACACAGCGCTGTTAGAATGTTTTGATTCACAATGAATGACACACCTAGAAAGAGAGAGTGTGTGTGCTGTTTCTAATATATATATATTGATTATATATTCAATGAAAGAGAGAGAGGTTATTGTTGTTGAGATGTTTTTTCGCAGTTATTATTAATTGAAGAATCGTAATTTTTTTCTTCTAATTAAAAAAATAATGAAAACGTCATCACCCACATGCACAATGAATGAAATATTGAAAATAATATGAAATTTATTATCTCTTTTATGATTGACTTGCCAATTGAAATAATATGTCTCTAATGACTCAATCTCTATTATACCTCTTTACAATATATGTAATTATTATACATTGAAAAGTAAATAGTATAACGTATTATTATATGTGTACTATTAAAGTGAGGACAAATTGAAATTATCATCATGAATGAGGGAGGGTTGTAAATTTGTAACTACATTCTCAACCAATAAACACCTGTAGTGATTCTTTTATAAACAACTATTTAGGAGCATAATACACATTCCTTTTATGTACATTAAATGATCAATTATATTACAAGTTCATTAAGAACTGTTTGGCGCCAAATATTTTACAGTAATAATTTCCATTTTACTCACTATTGTCAATTTGATTTCAACAATATTAGCCAACATAATCAATGTACTACTATAATATTCAACAATATATTCAATATATATAATTATTATAATTATTATTATTATTAATAAATTATTCCAATTCTTTAAATTTTAATTTAAAATGATATGGCATATATTTAAATGGAGGTAAATCTTGACAATCTTTTTGATAACTATTCATTCCTATTATATTTTTACAATATAAATAAAAACTAAAATTATCAGAGTGAGCAGCTAAAAAATGTAATGGATTTCTTAATTGATTATTTGATATTTTACCAAGTTGAGGAGATTTCATTAATATTTTATCAAATAAAACATGACATGGTTGATTTTGTCTATATATAGTTAATATAGTATCACCATTTTCATTTTGATATAATAAATCTTTTTCATTAGCATATTCTAATATAATAGATGAAATTGGTAATAATTTAGGAAGGTTAATAAATGATAAAAATGGTATTGTAATAATAGGTTGATTAAATGTTAATGGAGTTATACATTTAATTGGTTCAAATATTTCTGAATATTTAATTTCTTCATTTTCAAAACAATTTCTTAAATAATTTACAATTTCTAATATTGAACCATTTAATTCTACTACTGTTGTACTCATCATTACATGTGATATTATACAATTTGTTAATAATTTAAAGAATTTTTTATCATTATTATTATTAATATTATATTCAGTATTATTATTATTATTATTATTATCATTATATTCAGTATTATTAATATTAATATTAATAATATTATTATATTTAAATCTCAATAATGGAATTATTAATTTAGAACAATTTGAACTTGAATAGGGTAATATTTCATCATACATTTCATTTATATTCCATCCATATTTAATAGCTAAATCAATTTTATAAAAATCTAATGTTGAATATTCAATTCTTCCATTTTGATATTCATTTACTATATATATACAATATAAAAGTATTGATGTATCTCTAAAATATAAATCACATGGAGTTGCTTCAATTGGAAATTTTTCATTAATAAAAAGTAGATCCATAATTATTTTACGATCAAATAATTCTTCATGTGTAAATATAAATTTAAAATATACTTTAATATTAATTTTTTGCATTTTAATTATTGATTTAACAATTAATTCATTTGTTAAATATGGAGGACTATTAATTGATATTTTTATCATTTCATTTGATAACATGTTATTATTATTATTATTATTTAAAATATTATTATTATTTAAAGTATTATTATTATTGTTATTATTAATATTATTTAAAGTATTATTATTTAAAGTATTATTATTAATATAATTATTAATATAATCATTAATATTATTATTAATATTATTAGAAGGTATTAAATTTATTATATTATTTCCATTATAAAATAATGATAATGGTTTTAATAATAAATCATAATCAATTTCTTCAATAATTTCATTAATTGTTTCTTCTTCTTGTTCTAAACAAGATATATTTAATTCTTTTAAATTTGGAAATACATTTGAAATATCTTGAATTAAATCTATACCAAATTCATCAAATTGTTTTGGTAAAATAATTTCAAATATTTCTAATTTTTCATGTTTCATAATATTATTACATTCATATAGAATATTATCATCCAATCCATAATATTGTAATTTATTTAATTCAACACAACATTCTAATATAAAAGGTAATAATTCATCATTATTATAATATAATATTGAAATTGATTTTAAAAATGTATTCTTTCCAATTGAATCAAATGATTTGGCCAATGTTGTAGCATGTTTTTCATTATCATGAGTAAATAATGATGATAATTGTAATGGTATAATACTATTATAAATATCAAACATGTCATGTAAATTTAAATTTGAATTTGATCACTTGTTCTTTCCATTTTGTTGTTGTTGTTGGTTATTTGATTTAAATAAATGGATGTTATAATTTCATTTTTATGGAAATACATTAAAATATTAGAAATTTCATTTCCATCATGAAAATATTGTTGATCTTTTATAAATGATAAAAATGAAATAAAAGGTGAAGTGATATCAAAATTATATTGATGAATATAAATTAATATTGATGTTAAATCTAAATGTTCAATATTAAATATTTTAAATTTCATTCTCAATGCATATTCTCTATTAATTAATCTCATTTTGTGAAATGTTACAATATTATTATCAATTATCATTCTACAATCAAATGTTCTTCTTTGTTGTAATATATATGGATTTAATGAATCTGGTAATTCTTTAATAATTTCTTCAACATTTTTATCAGCAATTCGTGCATTTCTCTTTAATATTTCATAATTTGTAATAAAACATGTTCTTTCCGAATAGGTTGGAATAAAATCAATAATTTCATATATTAATTCTATTGGTAAATTATTCTTTAATAATTCTATTAAATTAGAATCTAAATATAATGATGATGATGATAATGATAATATTTCAATAGAACGTCTTTCTTGATCTTGTTTTATCCAATCTTTTATTTCATCATCATCATTCAATGGCAAAGTGGGATTATTAAAGGCTCTTTTAAAATCTTCCATCTTTTGTATTTTCTTCATTTCCCATTTTGAAATGGTATCAATATTTGCATCATTATGAATATATTCCTTTCTCTTTAGAGTCATTTTTATTATTGTGAAAATTGTTAAATGTCATTAATTATTATCATGTAATTAGTACTTCG